TCATCCACAGAGTGATACGAACAGGACGTTGGGCAATATGATACGAAGTGTTTGTGGTGATAAACCAAAACAGTGGGATCTCGCTTTGCCACAAGTGGAATTCGCATACAACAGTGCCGTGCATTCAGCTACAGGAAAATCACCATTTTCCTTGGTGTATACCTCTGTCCCGAAGCATGTAGTCGATTTAGTGCCATTACCAAAAGCTCCTGAAGTTAGTGCATCAGCTGAGGCAATGGCTAAAGACATTTGGAAACTAAAGAAGCGGTTCGAGCAAGATTAGAAGCAACTGGGCAAAAGAATAAAAAAGCAGCAGATAAACGTCGAAGGCTCAAGGTTTTCAAAGAAGGAGATGAAGTGATGGTGTTTCTCAGAAAAGAAAGGTTTCCAGTTGGTACTTATCGCAAGCTTCAGCCTCGCAAGTATGGTCCTTTCAAGATTTTGCAGAAGCTTAATGACAATGCTTATGTGGTGGATCTCCCAGACGACATGAACATCTCTCCTACGTTCAATGTCGCTGACATTTATGAGTATCATGCCGATGGTGTCCTTTATCCAGATGAGAACTCGGGGTCGAGTTCTTTGGAGGTGGAGGAGACTGATGCAGGAGACGGTTAATCCATTCTAGTCTACTAGTTATTTTCCTTTTTAAGTATTTTCCTTTTCTAATTAGGATTCTAGTAACTTTCCTTATCTCTAGGAATTTAGGAATTACCTATTTTATGTCTTAGGCTTTCTCTATATAAAGAACCTTAGGAGATATGTTTTAGGAACAACTTTCATCATAACTATTAATCAAAGACTTCGAGTTTTCGAGCTTTACCTTTCTGGTGGATTCCATAGCATATTTTCTTCGAGCTTGTCGCTTGCGAGCTTGAGTTTCAATTCCAAGACCAACGCTTGTTGTCTTGGTGCATTCCGACTGCGTCACTATGAGTTAACCTACAATGATTTCAAGGAAGCATTTGCTGGAGAGTACTTTCCACCCGAAGCCTTGGATCAGATGGAGAGTGCCTTTGAAGAAATGCGTCAGGAGAACCTCTCTGTGAGAGAGTACAAGGAAGAGTTCAATAGGTTGAGGAGATTCTCCAGGAAGCACTTCACACAGGCTGACTTAGTCCGTCAATTCATGAAAGGTTTGAGGTTGGAGCTGAAGAGCAGATGTTCTGTCAGGAGGTATTCGACCTTGGTGGAGCTGGTGGAGACAGCTGCCATTCAGGAAACCAATTTAGAGGAGCTGAGGAGAGCTAGGCAAGCTCAAGCTCAAGCTCGACCATCTCGTATTCCGGAAGCACCAAAAAGGACCTGGGATGACATAGCAGCTTCGGTAACAATGGTGAGAGCTCAAAAGTGTCAGCGCTGTGGAAAGATGCACATGGGAAGGTGTGGTGTGGCTAAGTGCTATGGGTGTGGTAGTTTGGGCCACATAGAGAGGGAGTGCCCAGCAAATGCAAAGCATGGCAAGTGTCAGCGCTGTAGAAGGTATGGACACACCCTGAGGGATTGCAGGGCGGATTTGAGCAACCAGGAGGGGGTGAAAGCAGCACCGGGATTGCTCCCAACGCCACCAGCTAAGAGACAGGATGTTGGAGCTCGTGTTTTTGCCGTTGGAGATCCTGAGGGAGCAGCGCCGATCGCTGGTAAGTAATGTTGTGTGATATTATATGTTGCTTGTGAATAGGAATGTAGAAGAAAATGCATAACTAGTCATAAGTACACATCATCTAGGATCGGTCTCGGTAGGTAGGCGCGATTGCATATACCTTGTTCGACACCGGTGCCACAAGTAGCTTCATGAGCCTGGGGTTGGCCAAGTGTTGAACTTTCTCTGGGAAGTTCACCCCAGGTCTAAAGCAGTGGGAACTGCTGGAAGTGAGCAGGTGGAGACCATTGGTATCCATGAGGATGAGTCTATCTTGATGGAAGGAGCAGAGTTTCCTTGGACTCTAGTGGAAATGAAGTCGGGCTACTATGATGTTATCCTTGGAACAGATTGGCTGAAATATTATGAAATTGTTCTGAATTGCCGGAAGTCGAGGGCCTATGCTCTGCATCAAGAAGGTCGGAAAGTCTCTCAAGGAGTGAAGGCCGACACGGGATATGGAGGAAGGATGTGAACCTTTCTTGGCGACAATTTCCATGGTTGGAGAGGGAGCATATAAAAGCCTCGAGGAGATACCTATGGCAAATGAATACGCGGACGTATTTGAGACATTGACGGGACCACCGCACAAGAGAGGAGTCGACTTCACTATTGAAGTAGAACCAGGGACAGCCCCTGTTTCGAAGGTTCCATATCGGTTGGCACCGGCAGAGATGGCTGAGCTGAAGAAACAATTGGAGGACTTGACGGATAAGGGATTTATTCGGCCAAGTAGCTCACCGTGGGAAGCACCAGTATTGTTTGTGAAGAAGAAAGATGGAAGCTTTTGACTTTGCTTCGATTAGAGAGGCTTGAACAAGGTGACCATCAAGAATAAATATCCCCTGCCAAGGATTGATGAGTTATTGGACTAGCTAGAGGAGCTTCATGGTTCTCCAAGATCGATTTAACATCAGGCTACCATCAGATTCAGATAGCAGAGGAAGGAATTGTCCTTTGAGGTTGGTGATATGGTATATTTGAAGTTGAGAACCTTCAGAGGAAATGGCAACCATCGGAAGATGAAGAAACTCAAGCCAAGGTACATGGGACCGTACCCTATCTTTGAAAGGATAGGAGAGGTGGCTTACCGCTTAGAGTTGTCCAAGGAGTTAGTTGAGTTCCATGATGTGTTTTATATCTCGTTTTTGAGAAAAGTTGTGAGAGAGCCAGAGCTTATTTTGTCTCAGCCGCCAGTAGATGTGAGGAAGAATTTTTCGGTAGCCTATCAGCCTGTGGCAGTGTTGAAATTTCGGGAAATGGAGGTCAGTGATAAGAGGAAGCCATCAGTTAAGGTTTGTTGGGAAAAGGACAGTATCCGCGAGGAAATTTAGGAGTCAAAACAAGAAATGCTGAAGGATTACCCAGAGCTCTTTCAGGACAAGGGCGAAACCGGAGGAGTTGGAGAGAATTCGGGGGCGAATTCCTTGGAAGTCGGGGAGAGTTGTAACATCCCAATTTCGGCCCAATTAGGGAAAGCCCATCAATGCCAAGCCCACTCCAGCAACCCTAGTATAAATAGGGAATTAAATGAGAAGGAGCCTCATTTGTCTTCTAAAAACCCTAGCCACCCAAAGAAAAGAGAGAAAGAGAGAAGAAGGGAAAACCGCTGCTGTCTTGTTTGACAATTTTCCGACGATCCGTAAGGACCACGCGACGTACAACCTATCCAAGTGAAGCCCCGAGTGTCTTCTTTCTAGAGAGACTAAGTTCATCCGGATCGGAGATCTGTGCCGGGAGATATCGCTGTTTCCGTGTTGGGTGTCCAGATCTGCTTTGTTGCTAAGGTGAGGATTAGATCTAGGTTCTTCTTCTTATTCTTTTATCTTCTTCTGGTGTGGGAAGTCTAGATCTGATAAGTCTAGGTTGTTTTCATATGCATCTAGATAGATCCATGTATATATATATATTTAATATGAATTAGGACTCTCATTAGAGGAAGCACCAGCATACCTAATTGTTCACCATGCTTTGTGGTTAGTGTTTGGTAAAAATAGCTAGATCAGATGTCCGTCTCGGTGGAGGTGTGCCGAGGTACGGATTGATTGCTGGATTAGTGCCGTCTGTGTGACCGTGGCATTAATTCATCGTCAGGTGGTTAGACGAATCACCATGCTTGTCTTTATGACCTGGAATAGCCTGTCTATGTGACCTGGCAATGTTGAGCATGTCTGTGTGACCTGGTGTCTGTCTTTGTGACCTGGCGATGTAGAGCCTGTCTGTATGACCTGGCGAAGCCTGTCTGTGTGACCTGGCGGAGCCTGACCTGGCAAGATTGGAGACGCCTCTTTGATAGTTGTTTGTGCACTTCTAGAGTGCTTGTTTGTTGCTTGTTGGGTTTATACTTGTCATATTGGTTGGAAATGATCGAGTGGGAAGAGTGCCTGGTTTGGTTCTCACTGAGTAGTTTCCCCAAATTACTCACCCCTCTCTTCTAAATCCATATTGCAGGTGAGTCTGATGAATGTGATTGTGATGATGTTTGGGAAGAACTAGACGAGTAGCTCTAGTGTGGTGTGCCCTCAGAGATGGAGAAAGTTTATTTGTTTTAAGAACTATTTCGTATTTTCTTTTAAAACAATGTTTTCTATTTTATTCGGATTCATTTTCAGTATTTCATATTTAATTGTAAGACTTGGATTTGGATTTGGATTTTGGAATAAGAATAAGATGTTATTCGGAATTTATTGGTTTAGGATAGCTAATACCACCGGTTTAGCCTGGTTTCCTTCGGAACCCAAAGTCGGGATGTTACAGTTTGGCTCTTAAATCTTAATATAAACAGTAAAATGTTGCCTTCTTGAATTATAAAATGTTGAAATGAAACCATGATTCAGAGACTTTAGCATCATGGCAAGAATGTGTGTAGTCAAAAAGAGTGAGACGTGTAATAGATACAATTCTTTTCACTTTAAACTTTCGACATGTATCATTTTTATATGGTTAGTTCAGTAGAGGGGATAATAACATACATTCTATTAGGCTATACTAGATTAGTAACCTTAAGCTTATGCATATTGGAATTATATTTTTCACGAATTAATTCATCTAAATTCTTTGATAGCATTAGTAAAACTTAAAAATTATGGACTATTAAAAATATTTTCTGTAAACTTATCAATTAGTTAATATTTTTATAAAATAATAAAATATTAAAATCTCGATATTATTAATTTACAGAAATTTTACAGAATTATTTTTTGAGAAATTGATTTTTCTAAGCTTTTTTTTGTTAAAAGAAAAAAAAATACATGGACCGAATTGACCAGCAGGAGAAACATCTAATCCATAATGGACCGGGTCGGGTCAACCAGATATATATTTATTAAGGCAACGAGACTCGGTAAAAAACACGAGACTTTAACTCTTCTTCTCTTTCTGTTCTTGGTATCTCCGATTCTTACTAAAGGCTTACGAGGTTCAGGTAAAAAATTCTTACAAAAACCCTAGTTTCTTGAATCTCGGAAAAAAATTCCGTCGTTTACTGGAAATCTATTACTTGCTGAGCACAAAAAAAAAAAAAAAACGATTTTGAGTTTTGGCTCTCGAGCTCTTCTCATCTTGTTAAATCGGACCCATTTTTTGAAGTTTTCATAAATTTTAAAGAGTTGGGTTTGAAAAATTATCTGTTTATTGTCGATTTGAGCTAGGATTGGGTTCTAGATTTAAGGGTTTTGAGAATTGTTTTATCTTTGTTTGTGGACTCGAACTTAAAAGAGGTAGGGTTTGGTAATTTTGTGGATTTAGATATGTGGTATTAGCTGAGGAGATTCTTGCCTTCATCTTGTAGCTATGGAAGCTCACATGCAGATGAAAATCCCAGTGTTTAATGGAGACGACCATGAGATTTGGAGTATAAAGATGAGGACTCTTTTGATGGCTCGTGACCTGTGGGATATCGTAGAGAGTGGAGTCTCTGAAGAAAATACGAACCAGTCTTTGGAGGAATCGGCTAAGAGGACGAAAGATCTGAGAATCAAGGACATGACAGCTCTTCATATGCTGCAAATGTCGGTAACAGACTCTGTCTTTTTCTTGATAGCAAGAGCTACATCGTCAAATCAAGCATGGGAGATTCTCAAGGCAGGCTTTGGAGAGACCGAGGAGTTTAAGCGTAGGAAAAGGGGGGATCTTGTGGGGGAGTATTTTAACATGGTGATGAAGGAAGAAGACAGCTTTGATGAGTTCATTGAAAAGTTTATGAAGCTTGTGAACCGGTCAAAATTCTATGGAAACGACATTTCTGATCAAGAGCTCATCAGTAGGATCTTTTGTAGATTGCCTTCAAGGTTTGATCAGGCTCGAATCAACATTCCTCGTGGAAAATATTAAATAAGTGAAGTTGTGTACATCTTGCGAGATGTAGAATATGAGTTTAAGAAGCGTGAAGAAGCTTTGCAAAACCACAAAAACTCCAAAAACAAGAGAGGTAGACGATATCGATAGAGAGCTTTTTCTACATACTGTATGTTTTTTTGGTTGCTGAAAAACAATTTAGGAAGCAAATATTGTGTCGCTTAATGGTCGAGAAACTCTAAAATAGAGGTGCATTTGTCTTGAATGGTTATCTCTATTTTTCCCTCTAAAAATGAATATTCTCAATATATTTTTTTGTTATTTGTTCTTAACATCTTTTACTAATAAAATTTATGAATTGGTTCCACTTATTTTTTTTTACAAAAACTTATATAAATTATAATAATACTAATTTTGATAAATAAAATTTGTGAATTAATATTTTATTTTACATTTTATAAAAAATTTCATAAATTATAGTAATAGTAACATTTGACTACTAAAATTTTTAACCACTTATGTTATTTTTTTATGAAAGTTTCAACATATTAAAATAATACTAAAAATTAAAATTTATAAATTTAAAAATAAAATTGCTGTTATTTTTTGTTTATTTTTATGTATTTTTAATTTGTAATTACTTTTTGTAGTTTAATTTCAATGAGAATTTTTATATTTAATAATATCATATGTTGTTTTTTAAACTATAACTAAAATTATCACATTTATATTTATAAAAAATATACTTTTGCATAAATATAAAGATTTAAAAGTTAAAAGACTACTTTACATATAAAAAAAGTTTATCTCTATTATAGAGGGAAAAAATAGAATTCCTCTATATTTGGAGGAAAAAAAAAGCAATCTCTATTTTAGAGATGAAAATAGAGGAAGGTTGGAGCATAATCTCTATTTTCACCTCTAAAATAGAGATGGATTAAAGATGCCTTTAGTAGAAAAATGGAGTGAGATGTGTGTTCACTTATTCTGTAGATAATGAACAACCACTCACAATATGTATTTTGGTAGGTTTTTTGGCTCTTAATCTTAATATTAATCAAAAATGTCATATTCTGGTAGTTTGTTTGGCTCTTAAATCTTAGAATTCAATACTGAGATGCTGTGCTCTTGAGTTATAAATTACTAGATTTATAATCTGCGCGTAGCGTGGAATTTCAATTTTTAAACAGCTAATTCATCATATTTATTTTCTTATTTTTTTGGATTTTATTAGACTCCTTCTCTATCTTCATATTATCATACATTGTTACTTTTATTTTCGGTCTTCTTTATCATCTTCAACATTTTTGTCTTCATATTTTCTGAAATTCTTTTTCATCAGCTTTGTGTTATTCTTCGTCTTCTTCTTTATCTTTCTTTTTCTTCATTTTCTTCTTCATCTTCATCTTCTTCAACTTGTATTTCTTTTTATTTTCCTTTTTTTTCATTTTTTTGTCATATTATTTTCTGATTTTGTTTCGTTTCTTATTTTTACGTATCTCGTGTATGTATTCTTCTTCTTTTATTTCGCCTTCATCTACGTGCTTTTCTTTTTATTGATTTTTTCTTCTTCCTCCTATTTTTCTTATTCCTTTTTCTCGGATTTTATTTTCATTTTCATTATCGTCGTTTTCTTAACTACTTCTTTTTATTAATTATTTTTCCAACTTTTATTCTTCTTCTTCTCGATAAAAAAATAATGATTATAAACCATGCATAAATTAATTAAGTCATTAACTTTAGTATTAATGTTTTTTATTTTAAAATATAATTAATACTACTTTAAAATGTATGAATTAATTGAATCATTAATTTTAACTTTTTTTCTAAGCTGATCTTGACTCTCTAGATAAACTCTCTTATTATATAATAGATTGAAATCAAATCATAGAACCGGGTAAACCAAAAAAATCTAAAAACCAATTAAACCCAGCTGGACCGAAACAAATAACCGAATTCCCACTCCTGGTTGAGGAGAAAATACTAATTTTGGTTGTGTCTCTTTGCCTTTGAATTTTTCAATATTGTGCTTTTGCTCTCTTGAGTAAAACTTAACTAGACTTGGGGAATAATTGCCTTTAAACTTAACCCAGATTAAACCGGTCGGTACGAATTGGTTCAAAACCCTGTTAAACAAAATAACCTAGCCGCTTAAAACTCTCTCGGAACCCAAAACAAAGGATTATCGGAAATAATGCTGCTCCGGTCAATTCGCACCGTCGAGCAGAATCTCCGAAGACTCTCCGCTTCTTCGTTTTCTGCATATCTCACGTCACCTTCCTCCGTACGCAGAGTATCAGCGACGGAGAGTGCTTTCTCTTCTCCTATTTCTCGATTCTGTTACTCCGTTTGCGTCTTTCCACGAAATGAGAATCGATACACGACGACATCATTGCCGGTTTCTTCACGGTGGATTAGCATCAGAAACATGTCTCGGCGGAGGAAGGTCGGAAAACGATTGCCGGCGGCGGACGCGGCGTATTCTTCTGCCGTAGATTTGGCGCTCGACTCGGTGGTGAAGATCTTCACCGTTTCCACGAGTCCTAGTTACTTTCTTCCTTGGCAAAATAAGTCCCAACGAGAATCCATGGGCTCTGGTATTTTAAATTACTCTCATTCTTTCGTTTTCCTGAATCACTCTGTTTTCTACATTGCCAAGTATCAGACTTTGAGTTAGATTCGTGACTTCATAATTTTAGCTTACATTGTAAAAAATCTTAGAATTGCTTGAGGTTATGTAGTTGATTAGGAGATGATGAAGTGTTATTAGGTTGTGTTTTGCGGCTCTAACTTTGTGTGGTTTTGGTTGAAATGATAAAAATATAAGATTTTGAGTTAACTTCTGACTTCATAGTTTTAGACTGTAAGTCTACATTGAGGAACAACATTTTGTAGCATTTCTTGAATTGCTTGAGGTGTTAGTTTTGTAGTTTATTAGGAGATGATGGAGTGTTCTTGGTAAGGAGTTTAAATCGTTAGGTTGTGTTTAACTTTGTATGGTTTGGGATTGAAATGATGTAGGATTCGTGATATCGGGAAGGAGGATTATAACGAACGCGCACGTGGTGGCTGATTACTCCTTTGTGCTTGTTAGGAAGCATGGATCGCCAATAAAGTACAGAGCAAAAGTTCAAGCGGTTGGCCATGAGTGTGATTTGGCCATCTTGGAGATCGATAGTGAAGTGTTTTGGGAAGGAATGAATCCGTTGGAGCTAGGAGATATACCGCTTCTACAGGGAGAAGTGTTCGTAGTTGGCTATCCTCAAGGTAATTTCCTGATGATAAGTTGAAATAGTTCTTGCATAGATATAGAAAAACGAGTAGTTTTAAACGCATGAAAGAAGGGCTTATGCGCTTAGGTTTGCTGCAATTTTGTATTTCAGATGGTCTCGTCGTATGTATATTGGCTACTAGCTCCAACAGTGCATAATCGTAGGTGGAGATATGATTTCTATCATCCACATATGTTGTATGATGTTTGATGATCAAACTTATTATGTTTTACTATGCAAATCTTTCTAGGATTAGTTACCTGCTAGGGCTTCACATTCGTAGAGTTTCTTTCATGGAAAGCAAAATACTTGAAATGTGCATTGTCATGTGAATAGAATATTTGTGATGTTTAAGTTTTGATGTTATGCGCTCTAGTGCAGGTGGTGACAACATCTCTGTTACAAAAGGTGTTGTTTCTCGAGTTGAACTCACACAGTATGTTCACGGCGCCACCCAGCTGATGGCTATACAAATAGATGCAGCTATTAACCCTGGAAATAGCGGTGGCCCAGCAATCATGGGAAACAAAGTAGCTGGTGTAGCGTTTCAAAACCTTTCAGGTTCTGAGAACATAGGGTGAGTCAGGAACTGTAAATTTCGGGTAAATTTTTAGGTCCATTTGCAATAACAAACCAACGTGACTGGAAAAAAGAGTAAAAAACAAAGTTATCATGAGTTTTATTTGTATATAGGTGTCTTGACAAAGCCAAGGTTTAAACTAACATTTTAATTTCTGGTTACAAATTGCAGCTATATAATTCCAACACCAGTAATCAAACATTTCATAACTGGTGTTGAAGAATGGAGTAAATACGTTGGTTTCTGCTCATTGGGTGTATCATGTCAGTCTATGGAGAATGTTCAAATCCGTAATACTTTTCAGATGAGTTCTGAAATGACAGGGGTTCTTGTAAGCAAACTAAACCCTCTATCGGATGCTCATAGAATTTTAAAGAAGGATGATGTAATTCTCGCATTTGATGGTGCTCCTATAGCAAATGAAGGAACGGGTATGCTTTCCTTTATTTCCATGAACTTTAACGCTGATTTTTTGCCTAGTTTGCTGATAAAAGTGAGATTTCATGTACTGCAGTTCATTTTAGGAAAAAGGAGCGGATAAATTTTGATCATTTGGTTTCTATGAAGAAACCAGATGAGACAGCCTTGGTTAAAGTCTTGAGGGAAGGAAAAGAACATGAGTTCCGCATCACTTTAAAACCTGTAAGTCATTTGGTCTGATCTCTAAAGATATGAGTATGACTTACTAAACCTTTGTATGTAGTTTAATCGTTTCTTCACACTCCATCTCTAGAGTGGACAATCATTTCTTCTTCTGAAACTTAGTAGATTTTTGTTGCTGGCAGCTGCAACCGCTGGTTCCAGTGCATCAATTCGACCAGCTTCCAAGTTATTACATATTTGCGGGTTTTGTATTCGTACGTCTCACTCAGCCATACCTTCATGAATATGGAGAAGATTGGTATAACATTTCTCCCCGTAGATTATGCGAGCGTGCGTTAAGAGATTTACCCAAAAAACCCGGTCAAGAACTTGTCATTATCTCTCAGGTTTGTACTTTCCTTTTGTCTAAGTTTGGAAATTTAGTGTCCAGACAACTTCTTTGAAATCCAAAAGAAGTCCTAATATCCTTTTTGCCACAATCCAAGTTTTGTTCACAAAAGATTTTCTTCCACAAACGTTATTAAATCTTCCTATTTGTTACAATATGTTTTGGGATAGTATCCTCAAAATCAAGTTTTTTTTGGTTTGAATATCAAACAAATATAACAATCTCTCAATACACTGATAAATTGGTCTCTGGTTGATAGGTGTTAATGGATGATATCAACACAGGATACGAGCGCCTTGCAGAGTTGCAAGTAAGTAAAACTATATGTCTAATTCCCCTCTAATTTTTAACCATATTCATATGATCCTTTTGTCTCAACATGGCATACATTTTTTTAGAGTTGGTAATTAATATAACCAATTAAACATAACAGAATGCCAACGAAATATATGAACGAAAAAAACTGTATTTTTGTTTGTGGACACAGGTGGAGAAAGTGAATGGAGTGGAAGTGGATAATCTGAGACATTTATGTCAGCTTATAGAGAACTGCAACACCGAGAATCTGAGAATAGACTTAGACGAAGGGAGAGTACTCGCCTTGCACTACCACTCCGCAAGAGTTGCCACTTCTTTGATTTTGAAACGGCACAGAATAGCATCTGCGATGTCCAGCGATTTGCTGATGGAACAAAATCCAGTGACCGAGTTGGCTTCTTGTTCCACTGCGGTTTGAGGCAACGCCGAAGCATATCGCATGTTGTACACTTGAAATTAATTCATATTAGCAAAAACCACATTGTTGTTTGTTCGTAAACATTTGGGATTTGATTAGCGGCTTTTCACGAGCCTGAGGTTTGGAGGCGAAAAAGGAAGTTTTAAGTTAGGCATATATTTTTTCGTAGGCATATATTTTTTCGTAGTTTCTGTAAGGGCATTAGGTTTTGTTCACTTTAAAAGCAACCTTAGAATTTTAGGTTTTGTTCACTCTAAAAGTAACCTTAAAATTTCAAATTTGAGGTTTGCAGTTTTTATTTGCATTTTAGTCCTTATAATTATATATTTCATAAATAATTACTTTATTTTTTATATTTATCATTTTAATCCAAATAATTATGTTTATATAAATTTATCTTATAATGTAATTTTTTATTTTATTAAAAATTTTATGATATAATTTTAGTTAATGATATTTTTAATGTCTTTTTTGTCATTTATAAAATTGTATGATTTTTATTAATAATAATTAAAAATAAAGATTATAGTGTAATATTTAAAATTTTGTGATAGTAGATTTGAGGTTTTGCTTTTGGAAGACAAACACCATCAAACTTTAAATTTAAGGTTTGGCCAACTTCAAATTTGAAGTCCTTTTTGGAGATGACATAAGAGCCTCATTTCTTTAAATTAAGGCTGTTATGTGAGAATTAATGGTAGTTTAGTCCGAAATGACAATAAATTTTGTTACTTGACTAAAATGAAATATTTTTGGTATTTCAGTCTCGATATTTCGTGTTTTATAATGGATTTTTCAGATCTTTTAATATATTTAATAAAATCAAGTTTTGAAACTTTTCAAATATTTTAGACTTTTGACTTTTTGGTCTTATCACCCATTTGTCGAGTCTTGATAAAATCTAGAATCATTGCAGAGTCTAAACGCTAGCCATAGAAAGGACGTTAGTTTATTCCCTTTCCTTGGTTAGAGAATCTGGAAAGCGAGAAATGATCTTATTTTCAATAATAAGGCATGGTCAATTCCAGATATTGTCAATAAGGCTCTACTTGATTATCAACTTTGGAATGAGGCTGCCCGGCTTAATCAGTCTCAATCTCAGTTGATTCATGTTAATTCTAACGCTTCGGAACGGAATGTGAACCAAATGAAAACATTTCAAGACGTGCTTAATAGGACCACTGACTACTGTTGTCTAACGGATGGTTCATGGGTTTCTCCAAATCAATGTGCAGGCGTAGGTTGGGTTTTATATAAGAAAAATGGCCAAATGGTTCTTAGAGGACAAACAGCAATCAAACCTACCCCTACACCACTGGAAACAGAAGCTGAAGCTTTGAGGATGGCAATGATTCATACTTTGAGGCTAGGATACAAGAACATCATGTTTTGTGGAGATGCCTCAAATCTATTCCAATCGCTTGCAACATCTTCAATAGCTGATGGTCCAAAAAGAAGGAGTCATTCCTTGCTATCTACTTATTTGCAAGATTTCAATAATCTTGCTCATGGAAAAAGTGTCATAAGTTTTCTTCAAATTCCACGTACTATTAACTATGTTGCTGATAGGCTTGCTAAGGATGCTAGAACTAAAATTTTAAACCTTGTAATAACTTGGAACTCTGTACTTTAACTTTTCTGTTAATAATAAGGACGACAAAAAAAAAAAAAAAAGTTAACCTTCCAAACCTTGTTTAGAGTGGGCTTGTGTAAAGGATTAGATAAAAGACTGCTTAATTTCTTAAAATGTTACCAAGTGGGTTTTGGTTTAATGGCTTTTCTTTTTTTGCTAAAGAGGAAAGACTTTTCAATTGAAATACACTGCTTTTTAAAGACTGACTTTTTCTTTAGTTAAGAAGTTTAGAGAGAAAACATTCAAAGAATCACACAATATGATTAGAGAAGGTAAATGGGTAGAGAATAATGCAAGGACTCACTTATGACCAAACTCGTCCGCTTCGGCCACGCCTTCATTGACCACTAACAATAGACACCGGTCCATGCCTTTTTAGGCCCTAACCGAAAATTAAAAATGTGCCATATTCATTGGTTAATCAAACTGAAAAATAGTATTATAATTTTTTTTACTAAAGATAACCTATAATTGTTTTAGGATCCTAGTCCTACCACTATATCTTTTACATTTTTGAGAAGGTTTATTATCGATATTTCCTGTAAGATCAGCTAGGTTGATGCAGCCATGTCAACAACTTGCGGAGATTTGGCTCGTCATTGTATTCAAGACCATTGATTCAAGTGCGAGAGGAGTCATTATTATTGAACGCCAGACGCCAAAAACTCCATAATTTATACTGCTTATCAAAAAAAGGAGTTTTTTTGCTAAGAATATTAACATCATTTGATAAATAAAGGTTTTACGTGATTTTGATTACTTAATCTATAGACTGGTCCCTAGAAAAAAAATAAATAAAATCAGAGTAAAATGTGTACACGGCCGAAGTGAACTAAGCCCGATTTGGTTTAGAGCGTAGGAACTAGAGAACTTTTCATTACTCTCTCTTTTTCCAAGATAAGAAAACAACAAAAACAACAAAAATCCCTTTCCGTGTCTTCTGCGAACTGTCACATCCGTACGTGCAACGTGGAATGACGAAAACACCCTGCAAGACTTAATAGTCTCTCTCTCTCTCTTTCTTTTTAGTCTCTTTCGGTCTTGGTTTCTTGGACAGTGAAAAGAATTGGAGAAAGAAAGCGTTTTTGTGATGTTGTCGTCGTCGTGGGAGATGCAACTAGTGGATACGGCGAAAGAGGAACTCGAGATTCTTCACACTCAATATCCCAACCGCTTCGCCTACCTCAAATCCGACCTTCAATCTTTCATTTCTAACCTCCGTGAAGATCACGCGCCACCGTGTGTCTCCTCCTCCTCCGTCGTTCTCACTCAAGGTACTTGTACAATCCTCTTCTTTCGTGTGTGTTCGTATATGGGACTGATGAAGTGATGATGAAAATAAAATGCTTTTTATAAGTAGAAAAAAAAATGAGATGTTTTATTTCTGAATTATCTTGTTTTTATTTGTTTCCACCACTACGTAAATTGGATTTTCGGATGCCAAAATTAAATTGATTTTGACAACACGTCTTAAAAGAAATCTCGACAGGACAAAAAAAGATTTTTTTAATCATTTTTTCTGTCCCTTTTTATTTGGTTATGTTTTCTTTCTAGAAAGGAAACTGGAATATTTTCTGATCAATTTTATTCAGAAACTTTTGTTTACTAATTTCTCAATAGTGTCAGAACAAACAGTTAAATAGTTTGATAACTACATCACCCATTCACGGAAATTTATTTTTGGTGTAATGTGATTGGATAAAATAGTATTTATCATAACATTAAAATTTTGGTTTTGATTTTACAACCGCAATTAACGTTTGTTTTCTTCAAATAATAAAAAAGAAATTAAAAGTTTGATAGATTTTTATATATTCGCATTTATAATGATCATCACTCAGATTTTGCTGTGCTCCATTCACACTACTTTTATTACGAGTGGTTTCTTCCAAAAAAGGTGGTTAAGCAGTAAACCAGAAACTATTTTCTATTTATTACCCTAGTTACCTTATCATAATTACCATCCTGACATTATCTTCTATATAGTTACTATCATGAGTCATGACTTCATCATAGTTTGAATATTAATTTATATATCATTGTATTAGCAGCCACTAAGTTGTTGTTAATGCATTGTACAGAATCATCAAACTGTCAGAATAAGCAGAAACACAAGAAGAGAAAGTACACTGTGACCAAATTTGGAGACCAAGAATCTTCATCATCAACAACGGTAAAGATCCACAAGAACAATAACAAGATGGTCCAGAGAGTGGTTACAAAGAGAAAAAACAGAGTTGAAATGGTTCTTGAAAGGGCTCAACACTGTCTCCAGAAGATAAGAGACGTGAAAGCCTCTTTGTGTTGAATTTCTTTTTACAACGTTTTCTTTTTCTTGTTTTGGGTTGAAATGTAAGAATGTTACCGACCAAGAAAACGTTGTGCAAGTGATGGAATTTAAATGCTTCTCGAACATGGGTGTAGTTCAACAAACTGGCTTGATTAGTTTGAGATAAATAGCAAAAATGACGGAATAAATGAAAAATTATTAACTAGATCAAGTTTCTGCAGAATAACTAGATCAAGTAAAAGTGTCCAATTTTTTTTATATTAAAATGTTATTGGCAAAACAAAGAAATTAACATTTATGAGCAATTACAATAAAAATGTATATTTTTATTAATTATTCCATTTACAAGGTGTGAAACAAAACTGTTTGTTTATTCTTTAAAAACCAAAAGTAAAGGAGGCTGATGGTGGGTCGGGGGGAGAACTACGACTCAACCCCTCCATATATATTGTAATACAAACTCCGATTAAATAAAATAAAATATGATTTTGAATGAAAAATGAAATTATAGTCTAAATCTAAATTTGCAATTACTACTTCTAACCCTAATAACATTATTAGCAGCCAAGTTATCAACGGATACACCACACCTCACCAAGAATTTTACTTCCATCAGCTTTAGTTTCCCGAGTTTAATCCTAACCGGTTGGGTAACTCTAATCCGCAACGGTATGCTTCCAGTTAACTGTTGTTGCTCTTGCAAGGTCGTCATCAAACCGGTTGCATTCTGAGTATAACCAGTCATTTCTACGAATATAGTAGTCGTATTCTCATGTCCTTGGTAGAATTTCGGCAGTGATCCTGTAATTATTACAAAATCACGTTAACTTTCTAAAATATTTCAATTTTTTGTTTTTATGATTAAGTTAGCAAAAAAAAAAGTTTTCAAATTATTTTAACGTACCATTGCTAAGTCTGGTTTGCATGTACAATACGCTAATTCTGCTTCCTTCCTCATAGTAAATTCCGATCTTCGAATTTGGATTTTTGGCGGTAATGGTGACGTTAAACGCCGTGGACAAACTCGAATCTTGGTTAAGCGTAAACCGGGTGAGTTGTAACCGGTCGATATTGTAATCCGGTAATTTCGGTCTAAAAACAAGGTAGAGTATACCAACGGCCGCTCCTACGATGACAACAAGGAGAAAAAGAACGAGGAGCGTGTAACACAGGCACCTGCACCAACAACTTCTTCTTCCTCTTTTGTTCCGCGGAGGAAGATCCAACGGTGGTGGTTGCGTCAGAGAAACCTTGGTGGGGTCACCGTGTTCTGATCTTGAGGAGCCACGTGGAACAAGAGGAGCCGTTGGATGGGTCGGAGGTGGAGCTTCCGGGTCGTTAACCGGGTGGATTTTCTGGTGGTCGGACATGTTTACACGTTCTTGCAGAATGGTTTTGAGAAGTTTACAATTCAAGAAGTCTCGAGGTTTTAGAGATACATAAAGAGAAGAAAGATTTAATGGAGAGAGAGGATCTTCTTCACGTTTTCTTTTGGTTAATTGTATTTATAACATATGTTTAGGTGCTTTGTTTAATACTAGTGTACAAAGAAAAAGTAAGAAAAGGAAACTTCTTCGATTGAATAATAAAATAATTAATACAAAACGTGTATTTTTGAATTCTTTAGCGCCTTGTTTGGACCGTAGTCGTGAATGCCTGAATGGTTGATTAGTCGAATGATTTTTGGGTTAAACCAAGAATAATTAACCGTCAATTCTGGGTTCCGAGGACGTAAAGTTGAAAGTTCGTGCATGCACCACATGTACAACGGGCGTAACAAGTTAATATTTATATTGTAAAAAAGAATTACAATGATCTCATTCATTTCGTCACTAATTCTCTATGTTTTCTTTTATTTTTTGTTTCTCCTTTTATCCTATTTTTTCCAATCAATACTACAATAGAGTTTTTTTTGTTTTTTACGTGTTAGACACTTCAACTTTTTATGTTATGAACTGACACTTCATAAAAAACAAAAAAAACCAAAGAACCAATTAAAAACACAAAATACACATCAGATTTAATTATTATACATATAATTTACGAAATTTTAAGGAAAACAAAAAAATAAACAAAAACATCTCATCCTACAGAAAATAAACAATATTTTGTTAGTGAGACTAACAGTTCGTTCTCTCTGCTATACGGTTCAGTGTTTTTTTGAATAAAATTCTCTCTCAAATTATCTGTTGTATAATATTAAAAAAAGATTGAAAGTATTAATTAGTTGGAAATTAGAGCAAAATTAAAGAAAATATTTACTGTTTTAGAAAAGCATTACACAATAATAAGGGTCTAAGTAATATTCATTCACAAATGACACAATAAAATCCTAAAAACGGATATTTGTCTTAATTCATTGTTCTCTTTTGTGTTTTCGTTTCCATTTTTTTTTTGTTTTTTATAAAATGTGAATATTATATCAAACACCGAATGAAACGAATTGGTGAAACAATAATTTTTAATCCGGGCTCAAAAAAATAAATAAAACTATCCGAGAGGAACAGGATGGCAAAACCAAATATGAGTTTAATTAGGACTAAAACTAGACATATATGAACCAGTTAGAAAGTAAGCTAGTAGGATTGTGATGCAGGCGAGCAAGCAGAGCATCGCGAACAGAGCGATCAACAGATCGAAAGACAGATTTGGGAGTTGTGGAGATACGTGTTGCGTTCCATCCAGAGTAGGCAAACCGCGGCTTGAACCGCAAGGCAACGCAGAATTTTTGGCGAGTGAGCGAGGTGATCTCGATGAAAGCCAAGCAATAAGAGTCGGCCAATTCAAGAAAGGGACCGTCGAATGACCGAGCTTAAGGAGTGTCTGCAACCAAACTTGATGAGCAAAGTCACATTGGATGAGCCTCAGAAAGACTACAGTTGTAGCAAACACTAGAGTCAACAATTCCCCATTGAGTCAGTCTGGCGAACAATTCCCCATTGGGGGGGGGGGGGGTGGTGGTGGAGAGAAGCATATCTCTAAGCTCCTTTACCTGATGTATCCTGGTTCTACGGCCAGGAAGAATCTATCCATCGGAAGTGGTAGCTTCATTAACGCTACTCCCTGCAGGGATCCCGAGAAATCTAGGCCCATCATTTCCAACAAAATCAATCAGAGGGCCAAGAATGCACCAATGATCAAACTAGAAAGAGCACCCTTCCTCATTGCCAGTTGAACAATGAAGGAATCTCCAAGCAAGAGGACGCAAGCTGAGCATGACTTTTCAAACCCAAGAGGACGCAGAAGAAGGGTCATAGGCCCAAAAATTAATCTGTTTCAAGCGATGCTCTTGGACCCATGCAACCGGAGCCACTGCCTGAAAACAAGAGCTATATTAACTTCAGATTAAGAACTTTTTTCCACACTGAGAAATTCCGAAGCCCAAGCCCCCTTCACTTTTTGGTAAACAACAATGTTTCCAAGAGATTTTCATGCCAGTGTGCTTGGTAACATCGCCAGACCAGAGGAACCTGCTACATAGTCTTTCAATGACCTTTAAACATTCTTTAGGAAGAGAAAAGGCACTCATCCAGAAGTTGACCGAGCTGTAGATACCAGAAGAGATTAGTTGCAGACGTCCTGCAAAAGAGAGAGTCTTAACCATCCAGCTCGCAAATCTAGCTGAAATAGCATCAAGCAGGGGAGAGTACTCGTTTTTGTTTTAGTTTCGATTCATCCTAATTCTCAACATTTTGGTTTTCAGAAATCAACATAATCTAGAAGACCGACTTATATATCTCCTATTGCACCAGGCTTTCAATTGAATTATAAGAAGCTCCTAAGGCTTTATAATTGTGAGACATATAGGTACACTTAAATCTCTTTGAGGTAATATAGGATGATATGATGCCGAGTTTGTTTCTTACAAAACCTTATTGCAAATATGCAGAATTTGGTGAACGTGGTGAATTGAGTAACCTGCACTTAATAGGCAAGGAGCTGTAAACGGAGTAAACATGAACGACATTACATTTTGGACAAGAATTAAGGTGTAAAAGTTTATTGGTTTTGAGTTTTCTTGCGATCTTTACTTAAACGCTTGGTGTTTTATTCTAACAATTCTATCTTTAGTGTCTCTCTTTGGTTGTTTTTGTGAAATGTTGAGATTTATTGAAATCAGAGTATTATCAACTAAAGTTGATTTAATATTCACAAACACACCAGTTTTACAACATACTTAAAAAATAGCATACCACAAAAGATACTTTTGAGTTAAGCTGATCATTGCTAAATTACGCACAAAATATATAAGACAGAAAACGATTCATTCCAATTGGTCTTGGTCACTTACAAAAGCTAAAACATTAGTTTCATTTGGTCTCTTACTTCACCTTAGAGCAGAACTGAAGGACACATCTTGTGTCTCCTTCCCAAATCAGCTTCAACAAGATCGGTTCACCTATCTCACACAGTTAGCTTTGAAGAAATCTTTCCAGCCTCCTACCAGTCTTATTTTTTTACCTTTCTCTGCAGACCGCAGATTCGTATACCACTTCACACCGTGTTTATCCAACAGGTGCATTTTAGTCTCCTCATTTATGCCATGAAATTTCGTGAAGGTTACCGGAAGATACTGAAAACAAATATTCAAATAAAGGATTCAAGACTCGAGAAGAATAGTAACAAGACAAAAAATAGACTAGGAGTGATGAAAAAACTAACCAGATTAGACTTTGTGAGATTGTAAGGTTTAAGAGTTAAAGTCAAAAACAGGTTTTGGGATGCTGAAGATGAAGCTTTCCATAACGATCTAGGATTCTTGAAGCTCTTCTCATCTTGGTCCATCTCTTCATGATCACTTTCTGATTCTGTGGAAAGAGACTCTATTTCATCACCTTCTGAGCACTCTTCTTTGGATTCTGTGGAGGTCAAACGTAGAAACAGATTTCCTCCTCTTTGGATTAGTTTGAAAGTGATGGAATCCCCAGCTCTAAGTCCATTGGCTCTACAGAAACTTCTCCAACCTCGTCTGATAAACATTGTTCCACATGATGATCTCTTTTGTTTCAAATTCAACGTCCATGATGTACCCTTTTCATTCATCAGAACAATCTCTCCACATCTTCTGTTTAGACCATTTTCCCTCCAAAATTTAACTGGAAGACGCTGAAAATTCATTACAATACAACTTTTAGACCTAATGATCAAATGAGTCTCAAGTTCATTATAAATATAATATAAGAGTTTTAGTTTATCATTCAAAATTAAGAGTACAATACCAATGAGTCATAACGTAGAGTTGCAGGAGATATTTTGGCAACAAAACAAGAGGGATCTAGTGAAGAAGAAGAGGACCCTGCTTCTGTTTTTGGATTCTTCTCCACTTTCTTCTTCCTCTGAGTCTTCTCTGAAAAAAAAAGAAGAAAATCAATCCAAGTGGTAATAGTCAAAACTGCTTCTCTCTACTTAATTACTGCTCCATATTCCACGATATAAGCTAAAAATTACAAATTAAACATTGTTGCTTGAGCACATTTCCTAAATGTCTGAGAGTCAAAAAACAGAGAGAGAGAGAGACAGAACACAACTCACCCTCGTCATCGCTTTCCGGTTCTGTGGAAAGGGACTCTACTTCATCACCTTCTGAGCTCTCTTCTTCTTCTCCAGACTCTGTGGTGGATAAACGTAGAACCGGAGTTTTTCCCCTTTGGAACAGATTGAAAGTGAATAAATCTCCTACGTTCAGTCCATTGGCACTACAGAAACTTCTCCACCCTCCTCTGATGTAAATCTTTCCACATTTCTTTTGTTTTAAAGCTAGATTCCATGATCTACCCTTTTCATTCATCAGAACGATCTCTCCACATCTTGTGCCTAGACCATTTGCCCTCGCAAAACTCATTGGAATATTCTGAAAATTCAATACAATACAAATATGATTTTTATCAAACTAGATCCTAGTATAAGAGATGAAAGTGGTTCAAATTAAGAGTAGGATACCAGTGCGTCATCACTTAGTGTCGAAGGAGCGACATTTGCCACAAAACGAGAGTGATCTACTAAAGAAGAAGACTTTGTTTCCTTTCTTGGATTCTTCTTCACTTTCGTCTTCTTTGAAATCTTCCCTGATAGAAAAGAAAAGGAATAGATCTTACTAACTTATAAAATGTCAAACTGATTCTCTCTACTTCCACATGCATATTCCAAAACCAGGTTTAAACTTTGTTACTTAGCAAATTTATTAAGTATCAGTCTCAGGTTTAAACCAGCTCACCAAGACTGCTCTTGTCGTCTGAACAAGACTCATATTGAACTTCACAGCCACTAGGCCCCAATATTTCTACGTGGAAAGACATGCCTTTCTCATGTCTGAAAATGAGAATGTCACCGGTTCGAAGATCATGTGCGAGAGCAAACTGTTTCCAACCATCAGTGAGTTTCTGGCCATCTTCTTCTATCTTCACTTTCCATGCTGTCTTTGACACGTCTGATCTCAGCTTAGCCGTAGTCATCTTCTGTTCATTTGTTCCTTGTATATACTTGGAGAAGAAAGCTACAGGAATCGTCTGAAACAACATGCAAGTACAAAACCAAACCCATCTCTCAGTTAGCTTCTCAGAGAGACATAGACAGAATAGGAAAAGAGAGACACAGAGAAAGAGAGAGAGAGAGTACCAAGTGGCTGTGGAATCCAGGAAGAATAGGCTTGAAGAAATGTTTATTCACCATCCTCAGAAGCTTTAGATCTCTAGAACTCTACACTTCAATTTTACTGGAGAAATGAATGTAAATAAACCAAGTTATAGACGACGTCTCAGTGTCTTGTCTAGTGAAGACCTTCTTCTTTTTGGTTGGTTAAAGCCCATAAGTGATCTTTAATATAGGATCCTATTTATTGTAAAGCTTCTATTTTTTTTTTTCACTATATATCCAGTGCTTTCTTCTTGAAGAATGCAACAAAGACAAAACCACTGAAATTGATTTTTTCCACTCACAGTTTCGTTTCTGACATAATGATTATTGTCTAAACGAAGAAGAAAACGTACCAATATCGTTCTGATCATCATTGTTGGTGACTTGGTGCTCATTGCTCAACATGAAAATGAAAATAAGAACGAAGAAATATATTTATTTATACTCAAATTCTGTGTTCACACTTGCAACTAATCTATAACTCTGCCACATCAGCAGACTCTTCCGTGGAAAGTCAATGCACCAAGCTGAGCTTCAACGGTTTGACTCTTCTTTCTTCTGTCTTCTTCTTCGGGGATCTCTACGGACTACGGAACAGTGTCTAGGATCCATTGTTGCGTCTCTTCCAATTTCAATTTCTTTAAAGTCCCCATTAATGATGGACCTTTTCACTTCCGATTAATTAAGATCTTCTTCTGATGCTCTCTTCTTCCCTCATTTTGCTGTTTCGGGTCAGTTTCTGAAGGTATCTGATGAGTTTTGAATCCAATTCTATCGCAATTCATCAGTTTGGTGGTGTTCGTCTTCCAAATTGCGATGAGAATAGTTAATCGATTAGAGAGATTTCAATACTCCGACATCCGCAGATTGCTGTCGGGGATCATCGTCGTCACAGTTGGTTTTGTTGTTCTGCTTGTTCTGTGTTTCGGTCTTCCCTGTCGCAATGCTTCTTGCTTGTCTCTGGTTAAGGTTTCAGGGTTTGTAGACTCTCAAGTCTCTTTGGTCAAAACCGAGATGAAATACATAAATGTCTCTACTGATGTTGATGTTGATGAAGATGAAAAGGGGAAAAGAAAGAAAGATTACTCGTTGGATATCGATAGAGAAGATGATGATGTTGCAATTAGCAAAGTCAAAGTAGAGCTTAATGTATCTTTAGAGAAGCCTAAAATGGCAGTTGAAAGTTCGGTTTTGGTTAGTGGTAAAGATAGTAGAGAAGGTAATGTGTTGTCTATTATAAGACACAAGCAAGAAGCTGCAGTTTCTATAGCTCAGATGAACACATTGCTGATCCAGAGTCTTTCTTCTTTTCAATCCCCTGTAAGATTTTTTGATTCTTGAAAAGTCTCGATTTTCAAGCTTTCAAGAAACAAAGATAAACTGAAACACATCTCACTTCCATTTTATGCAGAAGCCTCGGTGGTCATCTGTTCGAGACTCTGAAATGCTCGCTGCGAAAACCGAGATCGAGAACGCTTCAGGTGTGGATGGATTCATTGGACTTGATGCTTCGGTTTATCGAAATATCTCCAAGTTTCAAAGGTGCCTCTCTCTCACACAATGTGTCAATATCAGCTTCTTTTTTCTTGTTTCTGCAATTCTGAAGATCTTGAGACTGTTGTCGTTTGTTAAAGTTTGAGACTTTTGGAATGTTTGGAGTAGGAGTGATGTGTTTGGTTATTTAGGAGTTATGACTTGATGGAGAGGAAACTCAAAGTTTATGTGTACAAGGAAGGAAAGAAACCGATATTCCATAAGCCAATGCCTAGAGGAATCTACGCATCAGAAGGTTGGTTCATGAAACTCATGGAAAGCAACAAGAAGTTTGTAGTTAAAGACCCGAGAAAGGCTCATTTATTTTACATACCCGTCAGCATAAAAGCTCTAAGGACCTCTCTGGGACGGGATTTTCAGACACCAACGAGCCTTGCAGACCATTTGAAAGAATATGTGGATTTGATAGCAGGAAAGTACAAGTTCTGGAACCGAACTGGTGGAGCCGATCATTTTCTTGTTGCTTGCCATGATTGGGTACACAATCATTTTCTTTCTGTCTTTCTTTTGTTCTTATATGTTTATGAGAGTCATGATACATCAATGTTAAGATCGTTTCATGAAAATCTTCCTAGAACGTTAATCCGGTATTGATACGAATCCAATAGTTCCATATCGAGAAACGGAAGCTCCTAAACATTTAGGAAGTGATCAGCAAACATGCTTCTAGTTCCTATGCTAATTAGGAAGTGTTCTGTCAGTTTTGAGGATTTATTATAAGTATGGAAAAGTCGTTGCTGAAGGTTTTATCAACTTATATGAGGGAAATGGGTTCTGTGTTTTTGGTGTTTACTCTCTTTATCCATTTGATTTTAATAAAGAATAGCTTTTGGGGTTTTATTGCTATCCAGTGATTCTATACTCTAACAGGTAACCAAGTGAGGCCAAGGAACATTGTTTTTCCTTCTGTTTGTACCTTTTTTGATGCTAAGATGTGTGTAAAGCTCAGAAAATCTGAGCTGTTTGTATGGTAACTTGCAGGGAAACAAACTGACAAAAAAACACATGAAGAACAGTGTTAGAGCACTTTGCAATTCAAATGTTGCACAAGGCTTCAGAATCGGGATCGATACAGCTTTACCGGTCACATATATACGCTCTGCTGAGTCCCCTCTTGAGTACCTTGGCGGAAAAACTCCATCTGAAAGGAAGATCCTCGCTTTCTTTGCTGGAAGCATGCATGGATATCTCCGACCGATCCTTCTTCAGCTTTGGGAGAACAAAGAACCTGACATGAAGATTCTCGGTCCAATGCCTCGTGACCCTCAAAGCAAGAAACAATACCGTGAATACATGAAGAGCAGCAGGTAAACCAAAACGAACCGAAATGCTTAAACTGAATACTGAACTGAAATGTGTTTATAAACCGATTGCTTTTGTCATTTTTCATACTGCATTTGGTTCTAGGAGAAGTTAAACTCTCATTTCAAACAGGTACTGCATATGTGCGAGAGGTTATGAAGTCCACACTCCTAGAGTTGTTGAAGCTATAATGAACGAATGTGTTCCAGTTATCATTGCTGATAACTACGTGCCTCCATTTTTCGAGGTTTTGGAATGGGAGGAGTTCGCGGTATTTGTCAAGGAGAAAGACATAGCAAATCTGAGGAACATTCTGTTATCGATACCAGAAGAGAGATACGTTGGGATGCAAGCAAGGGTAAACATGGTGCAGCAACATTTCCTATGGCACAAGAAACCGGTGAAGTTTGATCTGTTTCATATGATTTTGCATTCGGTTTGGTACAGCCGGATATCTAGAGTTAAAACCAGGCCTAGACACTGAGTAGTGTATGTCACTCTATACTTTGATAGATTTTGTCGATCTTTTGTGCTAAGTCGTTGAACTAACAAAGATGAGTTTAGGACAAAACTAAATTCTAACTTGCGATTACAACAAGTGAATAAAAATTGGTTGGGTTGATGTTTTGTTTTCAAAGCTACAGAGATCTAGTTTGGGTTGATGTTTTGTTTCAATCTCTCAGACAAATAATGTTTTCTATGGAAAGGTTGAAGCTCTGCATCTTTTCACATAGAGATCACTAGAAGTTTTTTTTTTTATTCATTCAACAAAACTTTGTCTAGAAACTTATTTGTTCATTCTTAGTCTCATCTAGTGGCTACTCCATATCCTGCAGAGAAAATACTTCTTGAAAACAAACATATTTTGATTCTCATACAAAGACAGCAATCCAAAATAGAGAATCAGAAGCAATAGTACTAGAAAACCAGAAAGTTAAAATCCCAAGTTCATAAATCAAAAGGAGGCATCGCATCTAAAAAAGACAACTTATTCATGTTCAAGTTCTACTTCTTTTCCATGAGCAAAGAAGTAACCTCATTTAACAAGGCTTGCCTTCGCATGACATATACATATTCTTCATGGCCGTCAACACCCGTTCAGTTTTCTCGCAGAAGAGCTCATCATCACGCAACAACTTCATCTCCTTTTCAGTTTTCTTCTTGGTCTCAATCGGCACCTTGCTCCACAGTTCTTTCACGGAATCTACACCAAGAATCTCAATCGAAGGAACAAGAAATGAGTTTTCGAACCACTCAGGTTCCATCACAACGTGCGGTACATCCTCAAACAATTTTTTAAAAGGAATGGGTTCCTTCTCCTTCCAAACATCAGTAGAAATCTTCTTGGCTGGCTTCGAGGTACCTTTACTTAGCTGCTTTGCTCCTGATTTCACCGCATGAGCCTGGCCTGAACCACACGCCTCTTTGTTCTTGAAAATCTTTGTTGGATGATCTTCAGGCTTGTTCTGCTCGCTGTTGCTTGAAGATGCGCACGATGAATCTTCTAACGGCTGCTTGAGATTCTCCTTTGCCATGGGAGTGTGATTGACTTGCATTCTGTGAGTGAGTGGTGAAGTGTTAGGGTTATTGGTACAGAAACTAACTCCAAACGAGTATATATAAAAAGTTGAAGATAGGCTTTTGAGCTTCCCAAATGTTATAATGACATATTGACATGTTATGTTTTCCAGAAACAACAGTTTCCCAAATAGAGAGATACTAGGGCTTGTTGAAAGCGTTTGCGTTTTCTGAGAAAGTAATAATTACTCATGTTTTATATATATAATTTTTTGGATTCATATATTAATTTTTTAAGTTTTTGATGCATTTTTTATTAAAGAACGTTAATCATTTGACTACTTTAAAAATATAATTTTTACGCTTCAAGAAACAAGATTAACTGAAAACATACATCGCAGTGCTTGCGTTATGGCCCATTGCTATGCCAAAATAGAGAACTCCATCTTCTCTTTTTGTAACCAAAACAATTTCAAGAACCTCATGTGGTTGCTATATATATATATATATATATATTTTTAATTGCATGAACATGTTTGTCAAGAAACGCCATAGTATGTTAAAAAAAAAAAGAAACGCCTTAGCAAAGATACTAAAGCTTACTGGCTGATTATAGTCACACATGTAATACAAAGCTTATAACATAATGGAACAAAAAATTTAGATATGAATATCCTTAGAAAAAAAAAACAAATCATTGCAGTTTGAAAATCGAAAGAAGAAGATTAGAAACTATCTAATATATAAAGACAGAAGGAGGGCTCTCCAGCGCCGACGCATCAGCACTCTCTTATTGGTCAATTTTTTTAACAAGTAATTCATTAAATAACATAAATAGATATAAATTATTTAATTTATATTTTACTATGTTAAATGAAAAAAATATTAAAGCATAAATTTGGAATAATAATAACTATAAAACTACAACACATAAAAAATATAACAGTCAAGAATATAAGAGAATGTCAAAAGTATAAAGAAAATGATAGAAATGAAAAAAAAAGAATATGACAATATACAAATTTTTAAAAGTACTGATTGGAAAGATAGATTCAATGATATATATGTAATAATAAATATGAAAATGATAAATTTAGAAAGTTCAAAATTATTGTTATGTGAAGATTTAAATGAAAAAAAACTCAAAAAATATGCAAAAAGTTATTAAAATCATAAAAAATGTAAAATGGTCAAAAACAAATTATGAGCTTAAAACTGAAAATAATATGTTTAAAACAACAACTGAAGAATAACAAATAAAAACAATAAAACTAAAGAAAATATATCAAACAACACTGATATACATATATAAACTATCTAATTTACATTTAACTATGTTAAATTAAAAATAGTAAAGCATAAATTTAGAATAAATGAAATTTAAATTTATTAAAGTATACTGATTGTCTTCTTATTTTTTTTTTCATGTGATTTAATCTTCATCTTTGAACTAATAAAAAAATTCAATCAATAAAATGAAGGAAAAAAACAAGGGAGAATTACTTTTATAATGCAAATTCAAACCAAATTTGTCTTCTTAATATTTTTTAAAAATATTTGTCCCTTTAATGTTTATATTAATATTAACCCAATTTTACCCTTAAATGTTCATATGATTAATTATTAATATATATTTAAAATTTAATAATATTCATTCCAAAAATAAATGTTTGTTATTGTCTCGCTTCTTCTCCTAATATCTCAATGAGAGCTTCTTCCATGTATTCTCTAAACATTGTGTAATTTATGTACCAACCTCCCTCAACTCAGCAACGTTCTTCACTGTTTTTTTAATTCAACAGTAACTAACCTAACTCGTTTTTCCTCATCAGTCACAAAAATCCACTTCTTATCTGTCTCTGATTTTTATAAACCACGAGTGACATAGGTAAATTTAGAAAAAATCTGTTTGATCAATGGAAAAGAAAAAGAAGAAGATAGCGATGACAGCAAAAAACAAAAAAAAAAAAACAAAAAACGTAAAAAAATAGATAATAAATGTGGAAAAAAAATAAAAAATTTTCAAAAATATTCAGTCTAGATGTTAACCAATTTTTCTAGATTTTCTCAAAATTTGGTAGAATACCTATTCTACGGTAATGTAGAATGAAGATCATATGTAGAAGAACTATTCTACAATAACGTAGAATCCGGTCTAATAAGTAGAGTTAATATTCTACGAAAATTTAGAACTTTGTGTATTCAGTAGAACTTATAATCTACCGTAATATAGAATATCGGTAACATTTAGAATACATTTTCCACCAATCGGTATAACATATAAAGAACTATAGAAAATAAATTCTACAGGCTGGTAGAATGTATAAAGAACGATAGAAATTGGATTCTATGTAAACGTAGATTGTAGAACACGCATTCTGCCATACATAGAATCAATTTTAAAAATATTTTTTAAAAATATTTTTCATTAAATGATATTCCAAAATATTTTTATTTCATTTCTAGGTATTTCCGAAATTTAGAAAAAATAGTTTCAATTTTATTTTTTTATTAAAATTACCGTAATTGATTTAAAAGGGCAACTATGTCAAAAAGTGACAAAAAATAGAAAACATTAAGGGGACAAATGTTAATTAATTTGACTTTATAAAAGCAATTCTCCTAAAAGACAAATTTGAGACCAACAATAAAAACAATTGTTAAAAAAAATTTCAAACAACTGAAAAAAAACAAGAACTGTATAAAACTACAACACACAAAGAATTATTCAATAATAGAGAAGATAAGAGAATATCAAAATTAGCGAGAAAAATAATAAAAAAGAAAAAAATAGAATATGACAACAAATAAATATACAAAATTTTAAAGGTATTGGTTGGAAAGATGGATTCAATGAAATATATGTACTAACAAAATAATAAAATAATAAAATGAAGAAGCTCAAAATAATTGTTATGTGAGAATTTTATTAAAAAAATTTGAAAAAATGGATAAAAGAAGTTACTACGATCATAAAAAAATGTTAAATGGTAAAAAGTAAGTTATGAGGCTAAACCTGAGAACAAGATATTTTTTTAAAAAAACAAGCAAACAACTGAAGAATAATAAATAAGAAAAATAAAACTTTAACATAAAAAGTTAAAAATATCAAAAATAGAGAGAAAATAAAAAAGAAGAAAAGAAAAGAAAAGAATATATATGGGAACAATTTTGAAGTCTGGGCGTTATCGGACTTTCCGTCCCTTCCGGGCCTCTTCCCGAGTACTTCTATTTACCAAAATATGAGCTTACTCTTTTGAAAAACAAAAGAGCTAGGCATGACAGATCCACAAAAGGATATTTATCCTTGGATCCTGTAGTATATTTAGAAAGCGAGGAACGACAAGATCTTCAACGGGAAAGAAATTTCTCCAGTAGATACTTTGATCCACACCAAGATTGAATCAGAAAGCTGGAAGCTTGCAAACGACCCAGAAGAAGACGAAGACGCAACAGACGAGATTACCCCCACTCCTTGGCTCCCGATTACTCTACCTGATGCCCCGAGGTTCCCGATTTGTCAGGTTGATGCATCCTGGACAGGCAGCGGCCTGGTTACTGGGCTAGGGTGGAGCATAAAGGAGGATAGGAGTGGTGAGACTTTTGGCCTTCAGGGCTGTCGTAGAAGCCTCTCGGTCCTTCATGCCGAGTTGGAGAGCCTCTTATGGGCTATGTCTTGCATGAAAGATCGACTGACCTTATCCGTCCACTTTCAAACCGATTGCTTGGATTTGGTAAGCATGTCAGAATCTCCATCGGATTGGCCATCTTTCTTATCAGAGTTGGAAGTCTTCCGCAATCTCCGAGAAAGCTTCTTAAACTTCATACTCTCTCATATTCCCAGAAGTTCAAATGTCCGAGCGGATAGTCTTGCAAAAGGAGCTCGAGCAAAAGACATTTTCTTTTCCCAAATCATTCATAACGAGCCAGTTATGGGAGGTTCTTCTGAACCACCTTTTAACGGGCCAATAGTGCTGTAATAGTTGGGTAGTTGAAAAAAAAATATATATATA